TCTTTTAAACACTGGGTTAGAACTGATTGTGCTATCTTCATCTAGTGTGGGTTCATCCTTTGATATTGGCTTGGGTAGGTTATCATAATTGATCTTCACAAAACTACTAAGATTTGTCTTCTTAATCTCTGCAACATATGTTGGTAGTAGCACATATTGGTTGCCATGATTACCTTCTATCTCATCTCTATATCTTTTTTAGTTCTATACAACTGCATCTTTGAAGCATCAATCCCATACCTCTTTTTCAACTTGCCTTGCATTGTATCCAACCTCATGTTTGGATTTTCTTTAAAACTGTCAACCAATTTTTTGGCTATCCAATTTGAAGTTGCCTCAGTATTTTGGTTCAGCCTACTGCATGTGTGTTGGGGAACTAAGGTTTTTATTTTGTAAGTTATCCCATCTGGCAGAGGAGATGCATGAATCCTCCAAGGACATCCCCCAGCAGCACAGTAGGTAGTTACCCTAGACTTCTCATTTTTGTCCCTTACAATCTTGAGCCAGTTTTTACTGTATAATCTTTCAGTACAGCTCTGAAGCTGTTTACATCTGCAAAAATCATCCCATTTTCCAATACCATTTCTCCTTTTGGATTCTAATATGGCTCTTTATCATCATAGGGAGTATGAAACTGTTTTCCCTTGAAATCCCTCCTCTTAGGTCTACAAATAGGTTCATCATCCAAGTCATCATCAGTACTAACATCATACACCATTACATCATCTCATGATTGGTAATTACTAAGTGTACCATCATCTTCACCTACGCCATCATCTTGACTTAAGACATATTCACTACTTGTGCTGTCAGATTCATTTTCAACATCCACATTTTCATTCAAATCTAAGTCTTCATCACTAAACCCAATAAAATCATCCATGTGGTACTTATCATCCCCCTCTACATCACCATCACCATCACCATCATATACTGATTGATCTATTTCTACAACATCCTCATCCCTAGCATTAACTTCTTCACCCCCAAACCCAATAAAATGAACAACATCTACATACAAGTAAATTGTTCTTGTAACGCCCCAACTTCTGAGCCGTTAATAAATTAAATCAATCTCAAATTTAAAATTCTAACTAATTAATAACCTCAAAAATACAAATTGGCCCCAAAATAATTAACTCAAAAGTCTCCAAAACATAAACTATACAAATCTCCAAAAATAATATATAGTTGTGGACTAAAAAAAATCTAACTCAAATAATCTCTTTAGATGCTTCAACTCCAATCACCAATAAATTTGCTCCATACCTGAAAAATAAATTAATTCGGGAAGTATACAATACAACAAGAATAACAAGGCTCGGACAGAGAATATATCAACAGGGATCCAACAATTTCACAACCGATTAGATTCGATAATCAAGCAATTTACCAAATTGCACAAACAAGTCAACTCGACATATGATAATCTATCCAGAACCAAATACCTGGTCCTACTCAGTACATGACCAGTGACCGACCTCACCCACCTCACCCAAGCACAACCGCTTATTCGGGCTATTGGTCCAAGCTATTGACAAGGTCTACTCGATCCATGTATGGAGCATTTCCACGTCATTTAGCCAGATAAAACAACATTGACTACACAAAACAACTTCATAGAATTTATCAAATGACCAGAGTACTTAAACGTATCAACAAGAATGATTTCACAAAATTTAACATATGACCATAATAATCAAGAGGAGTACAAATGTGAAGTAATTAAGATAGAAACTCTTTGCAAAGATATTTAAAGGAAGCATATTGTATACTACCCAAATTACCTCAAATCAATCTCCTCCGTCGCCAACACTCAAATTTTGATATTTCTCCATGGATCTCCAAAAGTCTAAGGCATACGGTATGTAAGGTTTCACAAAATCTACAACTTTCTTCCTTTATGAAAATGCTTACTCTCACTTTAAACATTCTTAATCTAAACTCTATAGCTATGTAACAAATAAGGAGAGATATGAGAAGAACCATAGAAAGAAGTTGAGATGTGAGCTCAATTTATAGACAATGATACTTGGGGCAAAAGAAAAGAAAGACTTGGGCCCAAATAAAAGAACTTTACTTGGTGGGCAAGAAAGGGATTTATTTGGAGAATAAGAACAGAAACTTCCTTGGAGACAAAGTAACTTGGAGAGAAAGAAAGATTAAAGAAATTAAAAATAAAAGATTACTTGGTAAGTAAGGAAATAATGAAAAAAATAATAAAATAAAATTTACTTGGTGCCCAAGAATAATGAAAAAAATATTAGAAAACAAAGGAGATGAATAATAATGAGGTGGAGAGAAAAAGGGATAAAATAAATAGGGAAAAATAAGTTAAATTCTCATCTAAGAATCTCACCACCAAACTACCACCAATACCTCTCACTAAAATATTAATACTTAAAAAATACGGAGTTTCACAGTTCTACTCACACTTTGTATGTAAAACATATCTAGTACATCAAGATCATTTTCTAACATTCTTCTCTTATCAGTACCAGGTATGTCACAGTACAAATGAATTGCAATAGCCTCAATCAAACCTATGTTACTAAGAACTGAATCATGTACATCCTTCAACAAATCAACATGACAATACATATTAGGATCCACATTGTATACCCTGCTCACTTTACTCTTGTAATGGAAGACTAAATCAAATGAAGGAAATGCAACCATAGCTGAAATGATAATAAAACAGATAACAAAACCCTAAATCAATACACATTGAACAAAATATTTAAAAAATAAATAAATAAAAAAATCCTAATCCAAAACATTACAATATTTGATTAATATAACTAATTTAAACAGATAAACATTTAATTTGAACAGATAAACATTTAATTTCAATAAATAAACAAATTTGAACAGATAAACATTTATTTTGAACAGATGAACAAATTGAACCGATTCAATGAATTTTAGCAAAACAGATTAAAGTAATTCAAAAGCTATCATGATTCAACCAGATAAACAAATTGATAATAATGAATAATGCACAATATTAAGTAATAATGTTTACTAATCCAAAAAAAATTACAATTTTTGTATATATTTTTCACAACATTAAACAGATCATACAACACTGCATTGAACGAGTTCAAAAAAAAACATTGCATTGAACAAAATCTATCTACATTGAACAAAAACCCTAAATAAAAATAATTCAATAAAATCTAACAAACATTCTTATACTCCAAATCTAGTAAGTAATAATGTTGAATAATCCAAAAAAATTACAACATTTGATTAAGAACTAGAAAAACCCCAAATGCCAAAAAATAAAAAAATTGTTCAAAATTAAACTAACAAAACTCCCAAAACTCTAAAAAATCCTTCATTCGTAAACCTTAAACCCACATATTGCATATTTTTTTTCCAGAAATTTTGATCTTGAATATATTTGTTAATAAACTTTCTTCGAAGCCGTAAATCACAAAACAAACCAATTAAACTTTTTTACACTTTGCACTGTGAAAGATAATCGAAGCAGATCTTCGAAAAAATCCTTAAGCCATCATCTTCTCCTCCATTCCTTCGTTGTTCACTTTTCTCTTCTCTTCTCTTTGAAGTTTTGATCGTGAACCCTTGGCAATTGAATGAATTAGGGGTTTTTTATATTAAAGGTCACTTATGTCTTTTCACAAAATGGTTCAAGGGTATCATGGGCATTTCGGTTGTGAACTTAACGTCGTCCATGCTCTTTTAACGGGAAGGGAAAATCTGTATATTATTTTCAAAAGCAGGGGAGGGCAGTGTTATTTTTTAAACTATAGGGAAGGTCTCTGTAATTAAGATAAACCTCAAGGGAGGTTAGTGTAATTTACCCAAGAAAATAAATAAAAATTGAGATACCTTTACTGCAAAACCCTTGGTTTTTAATGAAATTAACCTGTATGGTTATTTAGTTTTCAAAATTAAATTAAAATTTTTAATTCGTATTTTTTTTTCATTTTTAATGAATTTTTTTAATATATTTGATTATTTTTTTATTTTATTTTTTTATATATATTTAAAAATAAAATATTATAATTTTTTTTTAGAAATTCAATAAATACAAAAAAATATTATTTTTTTATATTTTTAATATTTTGTAGTATTTACAAATTTAAAATTAAAAAAAATGGGACATTTTTTCATAAATCCCTTTTCACCCACTTATGTTTCATTTAATCCACATTATTTTCTTATATTTTAATAAGTCCTATAGGTACATAATTATCAAAATATCCATAATAATATTAACATTTACAGTATAAATGTTCCGTAATATGAATGTTTACACCATCAATGTGAATGTTAATATCGTCAATATAAATGATAACATGTCAATGTAAACATTCACACGTCAATGTAAATATTCACATTATAAAATATAAATGTTCACATTTTCAAATTACTAACCATTCAAAAAATATTTGTAAGAATAAAAATATCAATAAAATACCTTAAATATGAAAATTAGGATTTGATAGATCAAATGTCCAAATAATAAGACTTACTAGAATATAAGAATATCTTATGGACTAATTCAGATATAAACACTTAAAGAAAGATTTTTTAATAAATTTTCCTAAAAAAATTCATAAACATTTTGCATTTTAAATACATCTAAATTAAATGCATGTAAAAAAATATGAAAAAAATTCAGAAAAAATACAAATTAAAAAATTGATAATCTGATTTTGAAAACTAAAAATAACAAAACATTTCTGTTGGTACTCCCTCTTAAAAAAAAAAAAAAAAAAAAAAGGCAAATTACAAACACCTCTCTCGAGATTTAGTGAAAATATAAATTTTTCTTGAAATTTAAAAAATTATATCTCGTCTCTTGATGTTTATATTTTCATAATAAATTGTTCTCTGAAATTTTTATTTTCATATAGATTCTTTCTTAATTTTCTTAATTTATTATGAAAATTTAACCTTCAAAAAATAATTTATAATTTCTCAAATATGGAGAGAATGTATATTTTTACCAAAGCTCGACGGTGTTTGTAATTTGTCCTTCAAAAAAAATCTTTTGCAGATGAAAAGAACCGGAGAAAAATGGAAACTCGTGATGAGAAGAAGCGGGCCTACGCTTGAGAATTGAACTATCCGCCCAGCCCACCGGCGGCCTCACATTCATCATCGTAGGCATAGATAAGGCTACATCTCCATGACTACATACATCACTATGATTGGTGATTGATTGATGAAGAACAAGAAGAACAACCTCAAACCCTAGAAAGAACTTTCTAGAACTTACGTTTCTGCAAACTGAATCAACCATTTTCAGCATCATCATCATCCGAAGCTGTATGAGTAGTCAGGTAATTCAGCTAGAGGACGATCGGTGGTGGTTCAAGGGCAAGCAACCATGGGTCTGGTTATCATTTCTCAGCCACCGTCTTCGTCTGTACACTTCACTCTTTCTCCATTACTTCTTCCCCAATCTCATTCTTCTTCTTTACGCCGTCGCTTCTCTGCTCGTCGATGGTTGAATCCACAATTTACCCCACGCAGGTATCCCCCAAACTTACCGACTAATTTTGCTTTTGCTTTGTTTGGCTTCCCGGGAAAAAAAGAAAAAAAAACAAAGAGCTTTGTGTTTTAGTGACCAATAATGGGGATCCTAATGTAAGACTTAAAAGTGAGAGAAAAAGATTTGTATTTTTCACAAGAAATTTAATTCAAAAATTGTTCATGTATGTGGAGTAAACTAACAGTATTGGGTTCTATTGGTTTTATTGCAAGTTAATTCCTAGAAAACTTTACCGGCTCAAAATGTAGTCTGAATGACTTCTATTATATTTCTGTTATTTATTTTAATGTAACCAGTACAGTGCACGTAAGTTGGCCCTGACACCCGATTATCAAATAAAATAAAATAAAAATCATAAAATTTGAATTTTTAGCAAGGAAAAATGGAAATGAAGAAATTAATGAAAGGAAATTATACTTCATACTTCTGTTATCTTTCTGTTGAATGGATGTATTATTGTTTCAGAAAAGGAGACCGAATTTCTCTTTGCTTCCACAATGTTGAATTTTTTTGTAAATGATGTGAAAAGTATTTACCATTATTATTGTATTGCCCCGTGGCCTTTTTCATTTTGTTGCAACTGCTATTTAGATGCTTTGGTTGATTATTGGGGATTTGACATATAGTCATGGCGCTTTGCATGTGAGAGGGATCGACTTTGGGGCTGGGTGGTGACTGTGAAATATGGGGTTGGGAAGAGGAAGTGGAGTTAGGGGGATGTGAGTGGCACTCGTGGTCGAGGTTTATGGAAGGGGATTTGGTTGAGTAGAGGAGTTATGGGGAAGGGTTAGTTTTAGGGTTGGGACAGGGGAGATGGTGAGATTTTCGTGGGATAGACGGTGTGGCAAGATTCCATTAGAGTTATTGTTTCCTTTGATCTTTCGTATGTTGTAGATTGGGAGGCTTTGGTTGCGTCTTATCCTCAGAGGACTAGTGGTGTGATTTTGGATATTAGGTTACAACGGCAGACTCAAGATTGGAAGGTTGGACAATTGGTGGATTTGTTGTCTTTCTTATATGGCCTGCTCGATGAGATTGAATGTGAGGAAGGGTGTTAGATAGCTACTTAAACCAATATGAAGGTGAAGAAGATATTCTTCTTTTGAAGCTAATTTTGCACTTCTTTCCATGGCTTCTTCATTTTACTGAGCATTGGCTGGTGGTGTGGCGGGGGATTTTCCTTGGCAGCGTATTTGGCTGCTAGGTGTTCCTTCCAATGTGGCTTTTTTTGTGTGGACAACCTTAGGGAGGATTCTTACGTTTGACAATTTGGTCTGTTGTCGCCAGATTTTAGTGAATTGGTGTTGTATATGCTATAGCGATGCGGAGACTAGATCATTTGCCTATTCATTGCCTGATAGCTTCTCGATTGTGGGGCTATTTTTTTTCCACTTTTAGGGTGAGTTGGGTGCAACAGAGAGAGGTGTTAGACGTTCTTACAAGCCGGGGGGCGGAAATCTATTTTGAGTGTTCTATTCAAACGTGAATTCAGGTTGGGAAGCAACAACAGAAGGCTTGGCCGTCGGCTTTTTTGTGTTTAATGTGATTGGTCTAGCTAGAGCGGAATCAGCGTATCTTTCAAGGGGTGGTTCATCTTGTTTCTTGTTTGGGGAATTGGCTATTAATAGTTTTATATAATTGGGTTGAGGGGAGGCTGGATCTGGATGTTTTTGCTTTTTTGGATTTTTTGGATGACTTAATTGGTTCAGGGGCATTTCCCGATTTAGGGATTCATCCTTTGTAGTCTCTTGCATCAGCTTGATGTTGTTTCTTTAATAATATTCATCTTATTTATCAACAACGAAAAAAGAAAATGAAAAAGAAAAAGAAGTTCTAGTTATGTGGGATTGTGTCAAATTTGTTGTATTTCGGGAGATGTGGTTGGAAAGGGATGCGATGGTTTTTAGATAGAAAATTTGAGGATCTTGAGTGGAAAAGATTTGTCATATATCGTCATTTTGGGTTTCAATTTATTCCCCTTCCAAGGGTATTCCATTATTTTTTTATTGATAGGGATTGGAGAGGCATGTTTGATATATAATGTATTGTTTTCTCTGTTTTTTTAATATTTCGGCGGACTTCTTATTCTCACCCTTCTTTGTATGTCTTATTTTCCTATTTTTAATAAAAGAAAAATTGTTCTTGATAAAATAAAAAATAAAAAAAAGTTGTCATTGGAATAGTTCTCTGTGTGTGCGTGTGTCGCAATTAGTGATAGAACAGGACACAAACTCCATGGCATCGAGATCTTGTATATAGCAATTCCATTGTTTCCATCAAGTTTGAGGAGCACTGAGGTACTAGTAGTCATGTTTGAATTGCTCAGGACTTTGGCCTTTAAAATACCTTGGTCTTTAAATAACTTCTAGAAAACAAAAGATAAATATTTACTAGTGCCTCTGTGTTATTAGACATAGTAATTAGAAGAATTTAACGCTAAGACACATACCCTACCCCAACACCCATACCCGAGTCAATGTAATATAGACCTTAAGCAAGCTTTTAGGTAGCACTTTTTCTTCTCAATATACACATCTCACTTGGTAAGAAGCTAATGTCTGACTTAACATTGTCCAATTGAGTGTCAAAGATGTAAAGTAAGACATCTATTTTGCTTGCTACTGATTGTGGGTCCATTTCCTCACAACTTAATTTTTGGGACAATTGTGATCTAACATGGTATCAGAGTCAGGTTGGAGGAAGTCTTGGGTTTAGGTCTCTCTGTTTGTTTTATGCTTCTCTCTCTATATATAGATGTTTGCATCTCAACATGCAAGACCTAAGAAGCATGGACACTGACACGTGACACGATAAGGAGATGCCAACACGCTAATTTTTAAAAAATGCAGGACACGACATGTGGGGGACACGCATGAAATATATAATTTTATATATTTATTATATATTTTATATATGATTATATCATTCAAAGATAATAAAAAATGCAATATGACACTAATTCTTATAAATTTATATGGTTTTTGTTTTATTATTGTATCTTAAGTTGTTTTGTTCAAACTTATAATTAGTTTTACATGGGTCTAATCAATAGACGTGTGTTTGAGAGATACACACACGTATCCTCCAAGTGTCTAATGTGTGTCCGGGTCTTTGAAAAATAGGACATGTTTTGAAGAGTGTCGGACACGTGTCGGGGAAGTGTCCAAAGAGTGTCGGTGTCCGACACGGACACGACACGAATACGTTACCTTCTTAGAAATGTTTGTGCTTCTTAGTGCAAGACAAGATTGAATGTGAGGAAGGGTGTTAGATAGCTACTTAAACCAATATGAAGGTGAAGAAGATATTCTTCTTTTGAAGCTAATTTTGCACTTCTTTCCATGAGCTTGTGGAACTGCTTTGTCAGCCAAGAATTTATAGTTTTGATTATGCTCTTGAATCATATCTCACGAGAGAACTATATCTGACAATTTGGGATGGATTTGTTTGCTGATTTATACAGGCTGGAAAGTTTTAATTATAGATGTTCAATCACAGACACTGAAGTCTTCAATCATGTTGACACTGATGAAGAGGTTCAGGCAGAATTTTCAACTGCTGCTTCGAATTGTTCAGTCCCAATTGTTCATATCAAATCTGATATCCTCGAGACTGAATCTTTGAATTTACTGGCTGAAGACACTTTTGTTGACACTCTTTTGACAACGTTGCCAGTATGACCTCTAGTGGCTAACAACTCTTTGTCTCTTTTCCCTTTCACCAATATTTTGTTGATGAGAAAAACTTTTTGAGTCTTGACTTCTCATCTTCGCATCATTTTGTTGTTCCCTTGTCAGGTCTTATCAGAGGAGGAGCAGAATGTTCTTGCTGCAACTCCTGCCCATCCAGCGGGGTTGTACGGTAAGAGCACATAGTCTTGAGCTATGAAGCACTGACACTTCAAAACAAATGTTATAGCTGTGTGAGACACACGGACATAGCGGGGACACTCGGACATGGCAGGGACACGTATGGGACACGTCATGTGGCGTGTCCCTTTTTTAATTAATTTATTTTCAGGGGACATGCCAAGAACACTTCAGGGACACACTAGGGATATGCCAACTTGTCTTTTCCCCCATTTTTTTTAGTGTTTTTGATGAATGTTGAATGTTAAATATTTATTATTTTTTTCTTAGAATTAATTACTTAATAGATCATCCATAAAAAAGATACAAACTACAAGTGTTAATTTAAAAGTGCTATTTTTTTAAAATATAGAATCATAGTTAGCTTTTGTTAATATTGATTGTTTGTGGATGTAATATTAATCTAAATAGCAAATAAAATATATGAAAACATATTTTATTGTCATGTGCCTGCTGTGTTCGTGTTCCCATTTTTTTGAAATCGCCGTGTCCCATGTCTACATCCGTGTCCGTGTCCACATCCGTATCATTGTCTATGCTTCTTAGCCCTAGAACACTGTAGGCATTTGTATTCCATGATAACTGACAATGAATTTAATGTATTAGGCATTTAATATAACCACTTGTATGATTTTTGTGTATTAGGTGAATAAAAATGTTTTCAATATGGAACCTTTCCGCTTCCCAAATCCCTCTTGTTGTGACCCTTTCTGTATGTACAATGGGATTTGGGGTCCAATTTTTTGAAGGTCTCAGAATCAGAACTCAATTTGAGACAATTCTAAGTGCATGTTTTTTAGATTTTGATATTTTCGAGCTTAGTAGACCTGATCAGGTTTAGGTTTTACATGAAGAATGCACATATAAGAGAGCTAGAGACATCTAATCTATTTTCAGTGGATGTTCTGAGGTAAAAGGTTTGCGAGGTTGTCAAACTCTTCCTTTGTCCTCTGAACATATCCACATTGAATTTTTTACCCCAAAGAAAGCTAATTTCCATACACGGTGATTAAGTATATTTAATTGTCATCTATGTAGTTGCTTGCATTATTTTTCCTGCTTCTTTGTTCTATGAGAACATTACTTCCATTCACAACTCCAAGATGTCTCATTAAGTTCATGTGAATTTGTCTTAACAAGAGTGCTCATTTTTCTGAGACCCATCTTATAATTTGGCTAATTACTTCTGTCCAGAATTGCATCTATTTTGGTCCCCAAAAATATTCTGTGTTGTTCTACTGAGACTGTAGAATCCTAGATTTAGCTTCTGACCTTCACTTTGATATATTTTGGTTTAGAATATACTGATGTTTCTTTTAAACAATATCATATCACACTGATGTTGGATCATTTGAACAGTTTCTAACCCCAAAAGTCTTGTGTTTTAATCAGCCCTGTATGCTGGTTGCATGATTGGGAATCTGGTGGAACAGCTTTGGAATTTTGCTTGGCCTGCTGCTATTGCATTGCTTCATCCAAGCCTTCTTCCAGTGGTGGTCATGGGTTTCTTCACTAAGGTTTCAATGGGTTTATTGAGATAACAATAAAATATAAAGTAAAGGGCAAAAGGAATGATTTCTAACAAGCTCTACATTGAACAGGTTGCAGTAATTGTTGGAGGTCCTTTGGTCGGTAAACTTATGGATCATTTTCCCAGAGTACCTGCATATAATTGTTTGACTATTGTCCAGGTAAGTCTTCATATAAGATCAATGATTTAATCTGGATGTGGAAATATTTCTACTCGAAGTTGTGTTCTAATACTTCCCTTTCTGTCAGGCAGCTGCTCAGCTGTTGTCAGTTGGAATGATAATTCATGCCCATACTGTTCATCCCTCCCATGCATCATCAATGCTTCCCCGTCCTTGGTTTGTTGTATTAGTTTTAGCTGGTGCTGTCGAGAGGCTATCTGGATTGGCTCTAGGGGTTGCAATGGAGCGTGATTGGGTTGTACAGGTAGTGCTTATTATATATTGACAGCTTTTATGTTATTTATCCGGGGTGTTAACTGATTTCCTAATTTAGCCTTCTCATCTGTGCAGTTAGCGGGAACAAATAGGCCTATTGCTCTTGCCCAGGCAAATGCTGTTCTTAGTCGAATTGATCTTCTCTGTGAGGTTAATGCACTTATGTGATCATGATCTCATGACAAAGCTAGTTGTATTGAATTACAAATGCATGGTCATATTTTCTCGGGTGGTATTATTCTCACATTTTTGGTTGTGTTCAAACTAATGCTATAACAAAAGCACTTTCTCTGTGATGTGGAATACAAATGAAAGTGGATCTCAATGAGTGTGTTCTATAGTATTACTAATCTCAAAGATTCATACTTGAATGTTTTAGGGAAAAACTCTGATAGAAGAGACTTATCTCTACATAAAAATTGCAGATTGCTGGAGCATCATTGTTTGGCATTCTTCTATCTAAATATGAACCTGTGACCTGCTTGAAGCTTGCTGCTGGTTTAATGATATGGGCACTGCCTGTTGTGGTATCTGTTCCTCTCTCTCTCTCTCTCTATACACACACACACACACACACATATATAATTGTCGTTTGGTTTTGCTTGTTTTGTCTATGGAACTTTGTCATAAGTAGTACTCTATGTTATTCTGAGATTCATATTTTATGTCTTAAGGTTGTTCTCATGTGGTTAACCAACAAGCTTTCTATGGGTGTTCTTGACCGAGCCAAATCTCCACAAACATGTTGCACAAGTGCCATGGGAGGACCTCAACTGGATACTGAGAATATAGGTTTGTCCTCCGTAATTTAAATTGGTATCTCAACTTGATACACCAACTAACTCTCACCTTTTCATAAACAGTGAAAATGAGCGTGGAGGCTATCAAGCATGGGTGGGTTGAGTACATGCAGCAGCCTGTGCTCCCTGCTAGCCTAGCATATGTGCTTCTTTGCTTTAATGTTGTCCTTGCTCCTGGTGGGTTGATGACGGCATTTTTAACACAACGTGGTATTGTCCAAACTTCTAAACTCTTCACCTGCAGTTGCTTGGGAGACATTGTTTTATTGGTTGACTCTATCATACAACAAGTTATGATGAAATTTTTATATTTGGAATTAAGAAATTCCATGTTAATTTACACTTCATTACAAATGTGGCACAGATCAAAGGGGTTTGTAACAACCTCCATGTGTACCGAAATTTCTTGATTGAAACTCAACCCTGTTAATGGTCATGGTTCAAAGCTTCACTTCAGGGTGTGGGTTTTAGTTGGCTGATAATTGGAACCATTTTGGAATTTCAAAATAAGATAAAGGAGATGTTTGACTCCATTAAGTGCTTAAATCTGAAAATTTTAAGTGAATTATTAATTATGTTTTCATAACCTACAACTTGTTACCACTTAAAAATGAAGATCACTCAAAAAGGTTATGAATTTTAAGTTAGATTTGACTTATCATTTAATTTTAAATATGCTTTGTGGAAGGTAGTTTTAAATTTTGATCTTGATAGAAGAAATTATCCTTAAATTTTCAATTTTAAAATTCCAGCACTAAAATTTTTAGGTACTTAAATTTCAGTTAATCAAAATTGCCCTTATATTTGAAACAAGTTGATAAACACATGGAAATGCTTGGAAACATGAAACAAAACTGATTTAAATTAACAGATAAATATATATATATATATATATGACAAATTAAATGCATTGGAGGGCTAAAATAATTTCAGTATAAATGATCTGAAAATATAAATTCCCCCCCCCCCCCCCAAAAAAAAAAAAAAAAAAACTCATGATAAAACATTTTATATAGGTCAGTTATACGTCTTTTCATTATCTTCTAAAATTATATTTTTGAAAATTATTTTGTAAATGAGAAAAAACAATACTTAGTGGTTTAGAAATGATCTTATACACTTTGCATATATTGAGTTATTGACCATTACTTCAATGTGAACAACACAGTGATGAATATGCTGTAACCCTGTTAATTGAAACCACCTTCTCAAGTATTAGAAAATGTCACCATTATATATATATATTTGATGGATTTCATGGAGATTCAGATATATTCTTCAATTTCAGAGAACCTTGTGGAGTTTCAAGAAGTTTTATCAACATTACACACAAGTGTTATAAGAGCACAAAAAACTATAAACTAAATTGTTGTCTGATTTCTGTTATATGAAAAAATTTAGACATTTTGATTTTTTTGATTGGAAGGTGTCAAAAGACTTGACCCTTTGACCTTGTAACATTGATGTCATTCATCTGTTTGCTGTGTGATTATTTACTTGTAAAAGTTGAGACAAAAAAATGTGTATGTTATTATTTGGCATATTTGAATTTACTTAGTAACAGTAGACCACTTGGGTATGTGTTTGCCGAGGGTAATGCTAGAGTTGTGAATGTGTTTTTATGTGACTACCCAAGCCCCCCCCCCCCCTTTTTGCTTTCTATATATTTTTATGCAAGTCAAAGTTTCTAATCAATTGTGCTGATGATCTTTACAAATCCTCATTGAGCTTGAATTTGTATTTGAAGTCTGAGATGTGTCATTCGGATTGTTTTAGGTTTAAATCCATCGATCATTGGGGGTTTTAGTGGACTATGTGCTTTCATGGGTGTTGCAGCGACATTTGTATCTGCATACATGGTCAAGAGACTTGGTATTCTGAAGGTGGTACTCTGTATATATATTAAGCTCTTAGTAATCTGCTAAAATACATGTTTTTGTTTATATTCTAGTCCTAATTCTCAATGATTTCTATTACCAGGCTGGAGCAGTTGGGTTGATATTACAGTCTTTACTTCTTACCATTGCTGTTGCTGTATGTTGGAGTGGACCTTTTACTTCACAGAGTCCACTTCTATTCTTCTTGTGTTTGATTGTAAGCTCTCTCTCTCTCTCTCACTGTGAATGTACACCATCTCGCCATTGCACAGTTAACTGCATCTCGTGCAATGGCTTTCACTGATGACACCGGTATTTATTCGGTCTCCTGTCCATTGTAGTTGGCTTGTCTATGTTTTTGCTATTTATTGCAATATCAGCACAAAATTTGTGAATAAGTACATAACACAAGCTATAGGAAAAATCAATGTGGCACCATTCCTCTTTTCACCCTCATTTAATGGGGACCAACAATATGTAATGCCCTATTCTAGATAGATGCATGTTACATGTATAGTATGTCTGTTTTCAGCATGATGTATACCTTTATGTATTTTGTGGTTTTGTATTATGCATTTATTGTTGCCTGTATTATTCTCATCATCTATGTTATCATTCTGATAAATTAAGTTAAAAAAAATATTTATAAATTCCTATATCTTTTATTTGAATCCATTCTGCTGAAAATTAAGAAAAGTGGATACTTTCTGTTTGCAGGTATTGTCAAGATTGGGTCACATGTCATATGATGTCGTAGGGGCACAGATTCTTCAAACTGGGATCCCAGCATCCAAAGCAAATCTAATTGGGACAACAGAGGTTTCAATTTCAAGTTTGGCAGAGTCTGTAATGTTGGGAGTTGCAATAATCGCAAATGATGTTTCATCTTTTGGATTTCTTGCGATGCTGTCGCTTTTATCGGTGGTTGGTGCAACGTGGTTGTTCTGCCGATGGCTGGTGAATCCTACAGATGCACAAAGAAGTCTTTTCTCTTTTGATCCTCTCTTTTGATTCCACATGTAAGTGTTCTGTTCTCCATTTTCTCTAGTTGATTAGCTTGGAAGAGTAAGTTTTCTCCATCACATCTGTGATCTTGTTCATTTCCAGATGATTTTGATGAACCTGACTTTTATCATCTGTAACAAGTCCTGTCCAAATTTGTTCATTTTAAGATGATTTTGATGAACCTGACTTTTATCATCTGTAACAAGTTCTGTCCAAATTGACGAAGTTCTACCAGGATTTGTGTCTTTATATTTAAGATCTAAGAAGCACAGACATGCGAGACGCCGACACGCCAAGTTTCAAAAAATGCAAGATGCAACACTTGGGAGACACGCACGAAATGTATAATTTTATATATTTATTATATGTTATATATATGAATATATCATTCAAAGATAATATAAAAAAAATGTAATATAACACTTATTTTATAAATGTACATTGTTTGTTCTTTTATTATTTGTATCCTAAGTTATTTAGTTCAAACTTATAATTAGTTTCATGTGTGTAATCAGTGGATATGTGTGTTTAAACAATGGACACAAGTATCCAAAGTCAGGATCTAAAAATTTTTTTTAAAAAATAGGATATGTTTGGACGAGTTCAAACAGGTGTCGAAAAGTGTCCGACAAGTGTCGGTATCCAACACAGATATGAAGTGTTTGTGCTTCTTAGCTTAAGATGGTGAGCATTCATTCCGGATTAGTTTAAGCCAAATGGACAAGCGTTTGGTAAAAGATTCATAACATTGGTTCCTTGAAAAAAAAAATAAAAAAATTATAGGGTTTATGTGAAGTCAATTGAAGCTGCGCGACTTATCATCAGCAAATTAATTGTTAATTGTCTTTCTCAGATGTCGTGAGACATTGACAAAATATAAATTATTATTGTGAATATGAGATCAAAATTTGTGCACTCCAGCTCCATTATTTCTTACACCGGATTAGTTTAAGCCAAATGGACAAGCGTTTGGTAAAAGATTCATAACATTGGTTCCTTGAAAAAAAAATAAAAAAATTATAGGGTTTATGTGAAGTCAATTGAAGCTGCGCGACTTATCATCAGCAAATTAATTGTTAATTGTCTTTCTCAGATGTCGTGAGACATTGACAAAATATAAATTATTATTGTGAATATGAGATCAAAATTTGTGCACTCCAGCTCCATAAAATTAATGGGCCAATGGATGTGCTAAATTTCTTCTTAGTCCATGTTGCAGTTCTTTTTTAGGAGTCTGCATACCATACCATTCATTAGAGCATATAATCTAGTTGGTGTGTAGAGTAATTAGTTGATTTTTGTTAATGAAGAACTCAGAAAATCTATTGCTTGAACTTGTACTTCATAAAATCTTGCACCTGAAGATTTTATTGTTAATTAGACAATCTAGCTGTAAGAGATTTTTCATGTTAAGGAAAGCAATACATTAGAAGGAAGAAGTTTTTTTTATCAGTACATTAGAAATTTAGAAAGAAGTTGATTGAAAATGGTATAATTGCCTTATATTCTCTTGAGGTGGAACATTTGAGATATACTTCTAATTTTCTTCTAGATTATTTAAGCTGGTTTCATGTTGAAGACCACTAACTAAGAAAAATGTGAGAAGAAAATATCCCATGAACAATTAGGTAACTGTTGCTATAAAGACCAAAAGTACTAATCAAGGAAATTTGTCTGCGGCCATTTTTCTGAATATACTTCTTGGCCTGTATGTCAGGCTCAAATTAACAGTTTTGTAGAAGCTTGTTACAGATCATATAACTTTTGGGAAAAAGCTTAATTTGCTGGCAGCATAGCTTATCTATTTCTACCTTTTGTTTCACTCATTTTTTCCAAATTTTGTACCCTTTTGTTGGTATAATACTATATGTGATTTGTTTCCTTTTATATTGTCAACAGTTGCACAGGTGGTAATCTTAACATATACTGACTAGAGCAAAGATATTGTTATCTGCCACTTTCAATGGCAACACAACAATTATATCAATTCTAGAAGAAGCCTACCAAGGTATATTTTTCTCAGTTTCTTCATCACACACTGTTGTAATGGTTAAATGGCTTATCATAAATCATTTAACATCCTTTGTATTATATCAACACTAGAATGGCAAAGCTTGTATCCATGGAACCTTGTCTACCAGTTTCCAAATCTTTAGCAGTTGGCAGTAATTCGTTTTATGATTTTTTTTTTTTTTTTACTAATGCCTCAATATGTACAAAATACAAACATCTGAGCACCCTCCAGCGTTGATTCATTTGTTTCCTGGCAATTACATTGATTTGAATTCCCTGTTTTCAGTTTTTGTCATCTTTCCTGCAGACCTGAGATAATTTTTGTACATATTTGACAGTGTAGCATGTGAAATGATAATTTAGCATCTTGACTCAATCATTTTTGTAGTGTTCCATGAATGCCTTCTCATTTTTGTTGTACTAGAAATTTGGAATTGATTCACTACCCTAACTTGGGCTGTATACTGAAATTATTCGGATCTTTTGTTTGTTGTTGGATGAAAGCCTTAACAAAGATAATGGGTATACTGAAGATTGTAAATGGGTATTGGTTTAGATGGAGGCATAATACTGATTCTATTTTAACGAAAGATGTGGTCTTAAAAGTAGGATGGTAGGGTAGATTTAGATTGAGAGGTTCAGAAATGACTTCGACAAAAATTGGTGTGTTCCTTTTTTGATTTTTTTTTTTGTATTTTTGGTTTTCCTCTATTCTTTGGAGATTTCTTGATTATATCTGTAAATAGGAACTCAAGTCCATCTGATTGCTTTTCTTTTATTTTATTTTCTTTTCTTTTCTTTTCTTTTCTTTTTCCCTCTTCTTTTCTTTTCATAAGATAGCGGTTAGTATGTTAGTAGTTAGATTATGCAGGCCAATGTCTCCCCATAGACTCAAACTTGATTATATCTTTGGAGGTTTCTTGATTATCCGTAAATAGGAACTCAAGTCCGCCTGATTGCTTTTCTTTTATTTTCTTTTCTTTTTCCCTCTTCTTTTTTTTTTCCCATAAGATAGCGGTTAGTATGTTAGTAGTTAGATTACGCTGGCCAACGTCTTTCCATAGACTCAAACTTGAAACTTCACTCACCTTAACACCTAAGTGACCACTTGGACAATTGCCTGGGGTCCTTTTTCCCTCTTCCAAACTGTTAAGAATGTCACTAATTGACCTAATCATTAATTATCCGAGTATTTGATCCTAAAGAAATCTTAAAAAGTTATTGCTACATTTGATTTTTAACAGAAGATGAGAAAAGGATAATTGTTCGATTCTGACAGCTGAATTTTTTTAAGCCACTGACAGCTGAACTTAGAACTTGCTTTCTTGCATTACACTAGTGTATGTATGTGTATCACCCTTGTAAGTTATGATTTTGGCCCCCACACCTTTCACTTAGGTATTCTAACAATTTTACAGAGCTCAAGTTTGAAATTCTAACTTAGGCCAAGTTTGGCAACTACAAAATAATTCATTTTTTTTTTTTAATGTTTTTATCTTTTTTTCATCACATCACTTCTCTATTTTTTTGCACATCTTTTCGTAAAAAGACAAAAGTATACTTATTTAGGTCATTTCAAACAATTTCAATGTTTTTAGTGTAATGATTCATCAGTCCTTGGTCACAGTGAAGATGGAAAACTAGTTTACTAGCTAAATGATTGGAGTAAACTGAATTAGGGTGTGTTCAGAAATGGAATGTTTTCTATTCTTACATGTATTTAATATAAATATCTAATATTATATATGTATAGAGAGAGAGAGAGAGAGAGAGAGATTGATCTCACTTTCATAACAATAAAAAAATAAAAGAAAAATTAACTAAATTTTTAAAAGTTGATGTGTTTGGTAATTGTTAAAAAAAAATGTTGTTTTATTAGTTGGAAAGTTCACATTTTTTTAGCTTTTTTAGGTTTTTTTTTAATTATTATTTTTATTTTTTTATAGCTAAGACAACAGGTTTTTGTTTTTTTAATTTATTTAGCCAAAAAACAACCCTTTTTTTATTTTTTTATTTTTTAACACATGGTGTTACTAAAGCCATTCTCAAGTATATTTTTATTTTTATTTTATGGTGGTCAAGACTCATGGGTTGTCCTTGCCTGTATGCACACACCCCCACACATTTGATTTAGGTTAGCCCAAGGAAACTGTAGGCTGTGACCCCTCAAGGGCCTAGGGATGAAAACCAGTTGACATATATATTTTGTGAGATGGGGTCCCACACTTCTTATTCTACCCTCTTGAGATTCTAACTCAATCAACCCTTGTCCTACTTATTTGATGAGTCGGCTACAGGAATCATGTTTTGAAATTTTACGCTCATTCTATCTGCATCAAAACACTACAAATCTCATTCTATCTGCATCAAAACATTACAAATCTAACTGAATTTGAATTTACTTATTACTAGTTCTTGTTGGAAACAAATGCTTATGCATGTTCATATAAAAATCTCTCCATCTTGTGGTCGTATTGAACCAACAGGACTAGTCGGTCAGAGGTGCAGGATTTGGCTTTCTCCATTGAGGTCGGTCTTTCATCTCTTATATATTTGTTTTGGGAATCTTCTTGAATTATTATTACTGTTAAGTTTTGTTGTATACATTTTTAATGCACTGTTCAACATTAGTACGAGGTACCAAAAAAAAAAAAACCTTGCGGCAGTGTTGTCTATTCTTTTCTTAAAGAATGGTACAGCAACTTGCAGAAAGGAACCCTCCTATAGCAGGGATATGAAAAATGTTTGGGACCCCACAAAAGAGAATCTCCAGACTTCCATTGATGTATTGACTATTGATAAGTTTAAATTTTTTTTTGAAAATTGTATCTGACAGTGACATGAATAACTTAAATCATTTTAAGACTTGTGAGATTGTGTTTTGTAGAGGTGTATATCATTAATGCATGGATATATAACAGCAGGAGACTTTTTTTAGGCTGGCACTTTGCTGCAGTGGTGGTGGGTGTGGACCATGTTGGTGTCATAGTAAGTAATTGTGATGTATCTTTTCTGAGAGCCCATGATTTAACTGGTGGTTTCACAATCTGTTTGTACTTTGACGAAAGTTGCTGCAGAATGCCACGAGTGGTCTTTTACATGGGTCCACCTGCCTTGGGAGATAAATAACGTATTTTATCCACTGGGTATGTCACATACTCTAGCTATTTCCATTCTATTTTTTATTACTGGTGTGGGACTCTGAAAAACGGATTTAAGTATGTCGGGGGCTATGTTCGTGAACTAAAGTATTTTAATTAAAAAGTTAAAAAGTTATTATAAATTGTCATATTATTTTTTTTATTTTATTTTTTATATTTATTTTTTTTGTAAAAAGTCAAAAAATTACTAAAATAACTTGTTTCTAAACAATGCCTTAATATGTAAATTTATTGTTTAATATATTTTGTGAGAATTAATGATATTTTTTATTAAATATTATTAAAAAAATCACTAATTGTTAATTTTTAACAGCAGTTTAAAAAGTTTGTTATAAAAAATGTCACTAATTATAAGTTTTAGTGACAATTAAAAAAAATTGTCATAAAAACATTCTTAATTTTCAACTTTCATCGATAGTTTGTAAAATCCGTCATAGAAAAAATTACTAATGGTATGTTTTAACGATAATTTATAAAAATTGTGATCAAAAAAAAATTACTAGTTAATTTTTAGCGACATGTAAAAAATTGTTACAAAAATTTATTTTTAGCGATGATTTTAAAAGAATTTATTTTTAATAAGATTTGATGGAAATTAAATCTAACCATTGGAATTGGGTGATAGTTTAACCTTCGAAAAATCACTTCATGCTTGGCTAAAGTGTTGACATTTCAGTTACATTAAACTTTAGTCTCACTTTAATTAGTAGAATACTATATCATGTTATTGTGTTCACATGTCGTACTCAGGCCCTATTTGGGGACTTACCTTTTTAGCTAAAAAGTCAAAAAGTTACCATTTTAGCCAAAAAGTCAACAACTCATATCAAAAAGTCAAAGATTTTCTTTTCTCTCTACTTTTTGCACATCTTTTCGTAATTAGTCAAAAAGTCATCTCAAACATATAAGTTTTCTTTACTTACTTTTTTAGTTAAATAGCCAAAAAATTATTAAATTAGCATGTTTTCAAACGAGGCCTATACATAAATTATTTCTATATGGGGAAACTATTTGTTAATATCCTTGGCAATTTTTTTCCTCGAGAAATGTTATACACTTGAAAAAAAGTATTCAAAAAAAAAAATGTATAACTTAAATCTAAACTTTTCATAGTATAGGTCACACTCATAATAAGCTTGATTTAAACGTGATACTTAGATGAATACTTTATGTGAGTAGTTTTGTTTAGCCGTGACCAAAAGAATTCTTACTCGGTGGGAGCTAGAGAGGAAGGGACCTATATGAGCCCCAAAAAGTAGGGTACGACACAAGGAAATTGCATGCGCTTCTTCTTCAAAATGGACTTTAATCATGGCTTGACATTCGAGTTCAAGCTCGAAACCTAGAATCAAAATACAATTTGGGCATTATTTTGATTGGTGAGAATAAAGTGTAAAATTAAATGATTAGAAAGCAGAAACTGTAGCAAACCACTGACAAAAATGTCTTCTGGTTTGACATTATTACCAGCATTTGTGAGTAATTTAATTAATGGGTAATGTTCTAACTGGAAAGTTGAAAACAAATATTTGTATTAAATAAGTTACAAAAAATATTTTTGAAGAGATAGGGGGGGAGGTGTTTTTAATTTTTAACTCATCAAGCTATTTTATTAGGTTAAAATTTTTGTATTTGAAAAGATAGTTGGATTTTTTTGTAATTGAATGTGATGTTTGTAAGAAAAAAAATAAAATGATTATGGATTTGATGTGACATTTTATCTTATTGATTATTTTAGTCTATTTTATCTTTTTTAAATTTTAGCCAAATAAAAATTCAAAAATTCACTTGCCAAACTTGGTCATAAAGTTGCACCAAATGGGATAATTGTATAGCTCATTTCGTTAATATGGGATTAAAATACTATATCAAAAATAGGATAAATTACGTCATGAGGTTTGGATAATTATATTGGACTCTCTTAAAATATTAATTCATATAATACTTGACACTATTTTCATCATAAATTTGTTAGTCGTATGAATGAAAAAAATAATATTATCATCTTTTTTATATTAAAATATATATTTTCTGTCGTGTATCTTTGTATTTTTATACACTCTTATTAGTTTTGATCTCTTTAACATTACTAGTAGAGAGTCTTTGTTAATTATGTTAAAAGTGTAAGATTTATTGTATTTTCTCTAAATCTTAAAAGAAGTTGGTGTAATTTATCTAAAAAATAAATAAATTGTTAGTTGTGTCTAAAATAAAGTGTCTAAAATAAATTCCCCCCTTAACTTTTACAAGTTAATGATGGTATATGGGCCATGTTTATGATAAAAGTTATTGGATGCAGAATGATATGGAATTATTAATTATGAAAATAATAATAAAAAATTCTAAACATACATATAATCAAATCCCATTTAGAGAAATTATAATATTATAGTGATTGTGTCAACAAGTTAATCCCATGGTATATGGGTCATGTTTTTTATTTTATTTTTTCCAATTTGCAATAATCACTTCTAGGAAAAAAACAAAAAAACAAAAGAGTCAACAAGAGAGGCTTGTGTTTTTTAAATGATTGAGTTGGATTAGATGTGGGAGCTTCTTCATAATTCATCCCATTATACCACATTATTTATTTATTTTTATTATACTTGTGTCCTTACAAAATTATCATTACAGACTCAAACTGTAAAATTTTACATTCTTAATTTCTCTACTCAGCCACCTCCTTCTCCATTATTTATTTTATTTTAATGCTATCCTTACAAAATTATCATTAAGGACTTGAAATTTATAATAAAAAATAAAATAAGTGTAATAACCCTTGCAATTTATCTTAGGGTCCCCACTTTTTTATATTATTTTTTATTATAAATTTATCCTAACATAAATATTAATATTATCATCCCTAACCTCTCAAATCTTAACCCTAACCACATCCGGCTAACCTTCCTCCATAGCCGCTCTTTGTCTCCCTGCTACCTCTTCAGCCCTCTCTTCTACCGGTGACCTGTCACTCCATCCCTCTTCTTTTCCAAAAGGCTACCACCATAAAGAACAAATAATAATAATAATAATAATAATAATACAACACACAAAAAAAAAAAAAAAAACTCATAGTTCAAACGTATATATGATGATTGTAATAAATTATATATATGATTTTGCCGTTTAAGAAATGTTGTGTGTTGATTATCATTTTGATGTATTTGGTGCAGTTTAAAAAAAAAAAATACTCAATATCATATACATTTTTAATGTATTAATCAGTATGCAACAATACTCGATACAAAATAGATGAGAAATTAGGTTTTAGTTCACCTAATTCTCATGTAATTTCTACAACAATCATAGCTATCTTCCACCGATAGACCAAAATAAATATCTCTAATAGATAAATAAATTTCCATTAAAAATACACTTTTTCAAAATATCAAATGGGAGTGATAATACATATCCAACTCCACCCTCATCATTATCATCATTTCAATTTCACAATTCTCAATATTCCAATTTTCTCTTTACAATCTCAACATTTACATTTTTGGGCAAAATATCTTTCTCTTTAAAAATCCATTTTAATGCAAGAAATATCTCATTTCAACATATATCAACCACAAATTCATAATCACAATATTTTTCAAGAAACCATTTGAAAATTCCTCTTTTACACTTTGATTTCCAATCCTAGGTTTTTGTCAAAAACTCCCAAACCACTATAATCATATGAAATAACAAATAGCAAAGGTAAAACCCATACTAGAGTGTTGAGAATCCCCACCTCAAAGCTAGAAGACCAAGGAGATAGTGGAGAAACTTCAAAGAAGTCGAAATCTACTTTTGTTCAAATGAGCCCACAGAGTGTTCTACATTTTTAAAAGAGAGCCCACGGAGTGTTCTACCTTTTTAACAAAGGGAGTAGGGTGAAGAAATCACTAGATCTTGGTGTTTTTGTAGAGAGAAGGTAAGTTTTAAAGAGAGAGAATATCTAGATCTAGGGTTGTTTAGAGAGAGTGAAATGAAAAAGTGATCCAAAACTGTGGTTCTGCGATCTGATATATGCACAGACTTGGTCAAGCGCAAGAAGTGATACTTGAGCGTCCAGACACAAATAATCACTATTTGAGTGCAGGAAGTGACGCTCGAGCGTCAAGACACAAGGAAAAAGGTTTCACCGCTCGAATGCAAGAAGTGATGCTCGAACAGAAAATACAAATTTTGAGAAGTTTTGCAAGCCTGCCAAAATACTAGGAGTTGTCAAAGACCGCTCAAGCGCAATAAGCTACACTCGAGCGTAGAAGCCAAATTCTAGGCAATAAGGTTTTTTAAAAACAACGGTACCAACATATTCCAAACACAACCAACACATCTCAAAAGCTAAACTCAAGAGGAATAAGGGAAAATGAGGCATGAACAACAATACAAAATACAGAGACCCAAATCCAGAACGTATAATAGGTCAGGTCTAAACTAAAATCGCTATACTTACAATTTATCTTAGGGCCCTGACTTTATTTATTTATTTTTATTATAAATTTATCCTAACATAAATATTAATAGGGTAAATTACATTTACCTCCTCTGTAGTTTGAATAATTACAGTAACATTTTCTGCTTTACCTGACAATGTCAAAATTTTCCCCTTCTGTCAAATTGTTCCAAACGGTGCTACTTTTTCTATAGTAAATTACCATATTGCCCTTCCTTTTAAAATATTAAAAAATATTTTTGGATTGAGATTTGGAAGGAACAAACAGTGTTTGGAA